TCACTGCTTGAGTAAATCAATATGCCATCGATAAACACAATCACAAACATGTCTAGATTTTGTCTAGACACTCGATTCATCATGTCCATGAATGTGGTCTACGCATTAGACAAACCAAACGACATTGCTAATAATTCATGATGATCGTACCTATTCCAAAAGGTTGTCTTCAGAATGTCATCTTTCTTTACCCTCAATTGGTGATAACCTGACCGAATATGTATCTTAGAGAAGTAACTCGCTTTTTGGAGTTGATAAAATAAATCATATATCCTTGAAAGATGATACTTATTCATAATGGTAACCTTGATAAATTTCCAGTAATCAATACACATGAAAAAAAAACCATCCTTTTTATGTACAAATAGAACTGGAGCACCATAGAGAGATATTCGATTGGATGAAACCTTTATCTAACAAATCCTTTAATTTATCTTTCAATTCCTTAATTTTTTCCACATCTATATGGTAAGGAGGAATAAATATAGGTTGCGTTTACGGAAGAAGGTCAATACCGAAGTATATTTTACTTTCAGAAGAGACACTGAGTAGATCATTGAGAAACACTTCTAGAAACTCATTCATAAAGGGGACTGACTCAAGAATAGGGTTTCAGAATTCGTATCTCTAACCCTAACAATATGGTACATGCAACCTTTAGAAATATTTTTTCTAAATTTACTACAAGAAACAACTGACCTTAGGCATATAATTTCCCCCTTTCCACTCTAGGCTAGATTCATTTGGAAACTAAAACTTGACCATGGAGTTATTCAATCAATAGAAGCATAAAAATAATGGAGTCAATACATATCAAGAATAATATCAAACTCTACTAGATCAACATGAGTGGCTCTATGGAATAATGAGATGGGATAATTTCTATTGACTCTTTCGGCGACAATAAATTCACCAATAAGATTAGAGACAGAAGAAGGGCCAAACAATACATACGAATAAATATTAAACCTCATATCCATATATGGTGTTACAATAGAAAAAGTAGCACCGAGATTGTTACGCCATCTAAACTAGAAGACTAAACTAGAGACTAAATCATAAACTAGTGGACTGAACGGAGTCTAACATAAGGAGTAGAGTCGTAAAATAACTTCTGGAAACTAGTACAAGTGACTTTAGGTATGAACGTCAATCCAGGACCGTAAAGAACTCCCCTTACCCGTGGGTCCTTGAGGAGGACCAAAAGGGTTTCCAAAACATTATAAAAAATGCAGCCTCACCTACGAAAAAGCACCCACGAATCGTAGGTGGATCCACGTCCCATAGATGGGGTTGTGGGTCGAGGTTGAGACTCCCTTGCATCCTCCAACTTGCAAGCACAAACAGCGGATGACCAGCATGTACGGTGGTCCCACCCATGGTCCGTGGGTCCCAAACGTGGATCACCCCTAAAACTGACTTTTGGCAGTTGAGTCTAGTGGTTCTTTAGTAATTTCCTAATTAATTAATGGTTATGTGGTGTCATTTTAAGATTATTTTAAAGTACTATATAAGTATTTTTCCGCATAAAATAACCCATCTAAGGTCATATTCATAAATTTCCAAAATCAAATCAAAACCTCTCCAAATATTCTCTTTATAAGATTCTATTGAAGAACAAGAGCAATGTCAAGATTAGGGTTCAAGGTCCAGCCTTTACTCTCAAATTTTATGTAGAATCTATCAATTAAGGTATGACATCTTGATCCATGAAACATTTTCTTCTATGGAGCCCTTAAACTTTCCAATTTTAAACTAGGAAAAAGCTTCAAAGACATAGGTTTTTCAAGAACGAATTTCCCAAAAAAGGAGATAATGTTACACCCCCGAAAACTAGAAAACTAAACTAGAGCCTAAATCATAAGCTAGTGGCCTAAACGGAGTCTGACATAAAGATTAGATTCGTAAAATAGCTTCCAAAAACAAGTACAAGTGTTTTTGGTATGAAATTCAAGGCATGAACCCAAGGACCCCCCTCCAAGGGTCCTTGAAGAGGACCAAGGGAGTTGCCAAAAAGCTGTAAAAATGCAGCCTCACCTATGGATGGGCACCCACGAACTGAGGGTGAACCCACGCCTCATAGGTGGGGGTCGTGGGTATCTCCTCTGAATTCTCCAACTTATAACCATAAACAACGGATGACCACCACGTGTCCTGGTCCCCAAATGTGGATCACCTTTGAAACTGCCTTTTAGTAGTTGATTCTAGGGGTTCTTTAGAAATTTCCTGATTAATTAATAGTTCTGTGGTATCGAATTAAGCTTATTTTAAAGGGTTATATAAGTATTTTTATCACCTAATATAACCCATCTAAATTCATTATCATTAATTCCCAAAACTAAATCAAAACCTCTCCAAATATTCTCTCTAAGACTCCATTGAAAAAAAATAACAAGGTCAAGCTTAGGGTTCAAGGTCAAAGATGTATTCTCAAATTTCATGTGAAATCAATCAATTAAGATATAGTAATCTTGATCCATGGAACACTTTCTTTCACGGAGCCCTTAAACTTAGGGGTGTGCAAAAATTGAACCGACCAATAAACTGAACCGATAAAATATTATTGGGTTATTATTATTGGGTTATTGGGTTTTTAATGGGTTTAGAAAAAATAATTATTGGGTTATTGGGTCGGTTTCGGTTTTTCCTATTGGGTTATTGGGTTAACCGATAACCCAATAAGACGATAGTTATTTACTACTTTACCCTTCCTCAATATTAAATATACATAATTTAATCCATAAATAGATTCAATATTACTTATATTAGCTTTTCAGTATCTCAATATTTAGTACTAATACTTTTGGAGCCTTTAGTCTTTACTTTATAGGGTTAGAAACGGTGGCAGCCGGCAAGTCTTCGAGGAGGTTTTGCAACAGCGACGGTGACTCGGTGAGGATTTCTCTTCTTCTCCAAATTTACATACTTAATTCCAAATTTATTTGTTTAACCACATATACTAAACGACCTCGTGGGATCCAGTGCAGATTTAGCATGCAACGTATGAGTTCATGTAGATTCATCAAATTTTACCCACAAAAAGTATGAATTCATACTTATAATAATTTTATTTATTTATTATTAGTACTCTTTTCCTTTCTTGGATCTTTGACCATTTTTTTTCTTTTTCTTTTTCATGTCTTAAGCTCTTGTTTGCTGCCAAACACAACGTCAGTAGTCTTGTTCATTTGGTTCGATTTCTAGGATTGATTGTTTTAGTATGCATCATTTTATTTTTGTTTAATTCTCTGATTAAAATATGTAAAGAAACCTGTCTTGTTGAACTATATTATTGTGTTAGTACCAATCAGTCTTTTCCTTTTCAGCAATGTTGAATACTTCCTTTAAAATATCTTTAGTTTCTCTTTAGTTTACCTTGAAATTATTTCATTATTGCTGCATGATTAGTGACTATTGGTGAAATCATATTTTACAGAGACACACATATAGGCTATGGCTGAAAATATTTCAACTGATGAGGTAGTGATCATGGGTGATGAAAGTATTAACTCAAATGTTATGCGTCAAACACAAACTATTCAGCCAAAGGTTACAAAAGAAAGAAAGAAAAGGTCTCGAGCATGGGATAATTTTGGAACATTTGTTGATGAAGAAGGAAATAAGAAAGCAAAGTGTAAGCATTGCGACCAAGATTATTTTGCTGATTCAGTTAAAAATGGTACAAAGGCAATGCTTAATCATATGTTAACATGTAAAAAGATGCCCAAAGTTGTTGACAAAAGTCAAACTCAAATAGGCTTTCAATCTGTTCAAGGAGGGAATACATGTGATGTGGTTGTTGTTTCCTGGAAATTTGAGCAAGAACAATTTAGGAGAGCTTTATGCCGCATGGTAATTGTGGATAAACTACCATTCAAGTTTGTCGAGAAGGAACGTTTTAGAAACTTTATGAAAGTAGCGCAACCTCATTTCATGATTTCTTCTCGTACCACTGTGACACGTGATTGTTTTAAGCTTTATGATGAAGAAAAACAAAAGTTGAAGACATTTCTCGGAGAAGAACGTCAAAGAGTATGTCTGACAACTGATACTTGGACCTCCTTACAACAGATTAATTATATGTGTATCACTGCACATTGGATCGATAATGAATGGATTATGCATAAGAGGATAATCAACTTCTGTACAATTTCCAGCCATAAAGGTGAAGATATGGCTAATGAGATTATTAAGTGTTTGCGTGATTGGGGCTTAGATAAAATATTTACCATCACAGTTGATAACGGTAGTTCGAATGACGTGACTGTGAAAGAGTTATCTAAGATGTTCACTAAACGGGGGATCAATTTCATGAATGGAGAACACCTTCATGTGAGGTGTATGGCGCATATTCTAAATCTTATTGTTCAAGATGGTTTGAAGGTGTCTGCTGTTTCTATTGAACGGGTTAGAAAAGCAGTTAAATACATAAGGTTGTCTCCTGCAGGGTGTAAGAGGTTCCAAAAAAGTTGTGAAGATGTTGATATTAATTGTAAGAAATCTGTAAGTTTGGATGTTTCTACAAGATGGAACTCCACATACTTGATGTTATATAGAGCTATTGAGTTTGAAAATGCATTTTTAAGCTATTATGCTCGTGATATTGGCTTGTTACATTACCTTCCGTTTGTTGAGGATGAAGATGGAAGGATGAAAATGGAAGCGTTGTTGGTGCCCTTTTGAGTGATGACTGGGACAATGTCAGAAAAATTGCTAATTTTCTTCAAATTTTTCATGATCTTACCAGAGAAGTATCTAGATCACACTATGTCACAACAAACTCACATTTTCTTAAAATTTGTGCGGTTTCTTGTTATTTGAAACAATTGATATCAAGCGAAGATGATAGTGATGATCTTTTGGGTAAAATTGCTTCAAATATGAGAGAAAAATTTGATAAGTATTGGGGTACTCCAAAGAAGATGAACAAAATGATTTTTATTTCTTGCGTTTTGGATCCTCGTCACAAGTTTGTTTCAGTTGGCTTTGCACTTTAAATGATGTTTGGCAAAGAAGCTCCAATTTTAGAGAATGGAGTTAGAGATTACATGGAGTTGTTGTTTGGTGAATATGTAAAGTCCCTTTCTAAAGATAAAGGTAGTCAACACTCTTCATCTTTATCTAGTTCTTCATTTGAAAATTCCAGTTCACTACTTTCAAGTTCAGGCAGTGTTGTCCAATCGATTGGATTTTTAGGGACATTCATGGATGATCTAATGAAACATAAAGCTGAAAATACAACAACTGTCAAAACAGAATTGCAAAAATATCTTGCTGAAGAAAATGAAGTTGAAATCAAGAACTTCAACATCTTGTCTTGGTGGAAAATAAACTCACCCAGATTTCCTGTTCTTGCTGAGATGGCTCGGGATGTGCTAGCTATTCCCATTTCAAGTGTGGCATCCGAGTGTGCGTTTAGTACTGGTGGACGTATCTTGGATTCATTTAGGAGTTCATTAACTCCTAAATTAGTGCAAACACTAGTGTGCCTTCAAGATTGGATAAGAAGTGAATCAAGACCTATAAGTGTTGAGGAAGATATAGATGTCCTCGAACAGCTTGAACAAGGTAATGATATTTTAATTATAATAGTTTTAATTGTTATTGTGATTCGTCATAAGCATATTTTTAGTTGATTAACGTAAATTCTTTATAGATTTGGCTAATACTAGCATTCTGGATTATTAATGTGGAGTTAAAACTCTTCCTTTTTCGCACTTGGATCTTGATATTTGGAAAGCCACTCTAGATACAAGTTGCTCTAAGCCTAATAGTATGCAGCTTATAGTGTTATTTGAATGTGGATGTTATGCATTTATAGAGCCTATTTCATTAAATATGTTCATCATCAAAGTGTGTTCAATTTTGTCATTAAATGTAAAGATGTACTCTAATAGTCTATCAACTGTCTTTTTCTTTTTCAGGCGATGTGATTTTTTGGTTAGGATATTGGTGAGAACTTTGTTGATTATATGGTGGATCAAGCAACTGTTTAAGATTGTCTCATTGAAATATTTTATTTTAGTTTTAATTCTAGTTCGTAATTGTAGGCGATAGCTTTTGCAAGTTTGTGAATGTTAGTAATTTGATCAACATTCAAAGTTTCCTATTATGTTTTGGCAGGTAAGTTGGTAACATGTAATTATAACATACGTACTATTATATATTATTTGATCGATATTTTTTTATTGGGTTAACCGAAACCGAATCGATAACATCAAAAACCGATAAACCGAAAACCGATAAAAAATTTCTTATTGGTTTGTTATTGGGTTAGCATATTTTAAAACCGAAAACTGATAAACCGAATAGATTATATATAAAACCGAACTGAACCGACCGATGCACACCCCTACTTAAACTATATAATTTAAACCTAGGAAGAAACTTCAAAGACCTAGGGTTTTCTTCCAATCATGGATTCTTTCTCAAATCGTTTTCAAAGGTTTAATTTTCATATATTATGGATTAATTAATGTTTTTAAAATATTTTTATGATCAATATACCATGTATACATGAAATCCCCTATAACCCTAATTTTATGAATGCAATGTGGGTGAATTTGTTAAGGTCAATTGTATTGAATTGTTCTTGTTGTATGTGGTTTCTTGATAATAGTATTCATGTGGAATGTAATAACCATATTTTGATTAAGGGAATGTGATCCTTAATTAAAGATGGGTAAGACATGATATTTGTACCAAATTATGAGTTACATGTATATGCACTATATGAACATGATTATAACCTTATTATTGTGTTTATTGAAAGTTCATTCTCATAAACACAAAATGATCAATAGTGAAAGTTCTTATAACAATGATAGGGTTCTAAGGTTGAAAAGTCCATTCTCACAAAATGAACCTATGAGCTATTATTGTGAATTGTGTTGGATAAAGGTTAAGATACTCCTTCATACTTATAAATTCAATTCAAAGACTAAATATGACATTGTGGAAAGTAATGCTTAGCACAGAGTGGATATTGAATATGAGATAGAGGCTTTCCCTGCAATCAAATAGGCCCGAGTATCCAAGTGTAATCTCATGATATGGAAGTTCCCCAGTGAAGTGGGGTTCTAATAACAATCTCTGTATCCCATAACTATGTTCCCTCATATTTCTTTAACTAGTGGATCTACTTAAAAACTATACATTTAGTTCTACCTTAGGCAAGTAGGACACTTATTTTTTTTGTGAGGCATGACACAAAATTTCATGTCTGGCTTACATGGTGTATATTGGGTAAGGCTTATTCCTAAAGTAATAACAAAGGCAAAGTATTGACATGTTTGCTTAAGGAGTTTACTTAGCATTGGTAGGATTATAGGGTCTTACTTATGCATGACACAAATAGATTTTGAAAGTATTCATGGTGGGTTCCTATTATGATGTGATGACTTATAAATTGGTTATACTTATGATACATGCTTTTATAAAAAAAATTCATTATCATTCTCAAACGTTACAAAGATGCATGCTCTTTACTAAACTGTCCCTTTTTGCATATTTTCATGATTTTGTTCATGATTATCATACTTAGTACGTTAAATATTCTAACGCATATTTCTTCTATTTTTCTAACATGTATAGGTTCTGGTGTGTGAGGATATTGACCCATATATTTGAATTTTAGGTTGGATACTCTTCAAGCTTGTGGTATGTCCTCATGGATCCGTGGAGAAGAGATTTATTGTTGTTTCACTTCTTTTTTTGTACTAGAAAATTTCATATTCTCTATTGTAAGGGTTGTGACCATATTGTTTTGAGATTGTGATTGTAGTATATGGCTTAATGAGACTATGTCTAGAATTCCACTTTACTTTTACAAAGATTTTTTTTAAAACTTGAAATTGTGTTGTTTTTATTCTTTATTATTCTATACTTATGCGATGATGATAAGCTAAATGACATACTTGGGACCTTTCGAGGTTCCATGTGCCATAATACGTCTAGGGGGTACCCTTGGGTCGTAATAGGGATAAAAGGAAGCATAAACATCAAGATGAAAGACATTCAACATTCCAGTAACCATAACGGGAGAAACCTGTTGCTCATATCGAGTTTGAAGTGCATAATATCAGTTTTGCTTCCGAGTACTTAAACTGAACCAATAATCCAAACCTTCCTAGATTCTCTTTCCTTAGAATTAAGTGACGCAAACTCCTTTATCTCGTGACCACTCTGGCTACAGCCAAAGCAACCATTTCTATCGGCTTAGCATTTATCCTCATGCTTCTTTCCACACCTAGCACAAGTAAGACAATGAAGATCCACCATCGTTTTTCCTTCTTGAGGCTTATTGTTGTTGAACTTTGGAATCGAAGCATTAGAGAAACCTTGATCGGAGGACCTTTATCAGTATCTAGAACGACCATATCCATCGAACCTTGAATCTGAAAAGTCACCATCACTGATTCTTTCCCTATTTACCTGTCTAGATATTTCCTTAAGTTTGTCCTCTTATATTTGTTGGACATGTATCATTGGGTGAGAAATATCTATTTCCTTAACTATCATGGAGATACATCATTCCTTAACAACCATTTTGGACACAACCAAAACAAACTTGCTTATCTTTGGATTAGACTCGACAACCATAGTAGGAGCATATCTAGACCACTGTTTGAATTTTGAAGCATAGTCTTTCACACTTATATTAATTAACTCAAGAATTTTGTCCTCCCTCATCTCAGGGGGAAAGAACCTTATGGATGAAGCAACTTTGAGCTTTTCTCGATCAAAAATGCTTCCATCAACAACTTTATCTTCCTTCAATTTGTTTGAACAAAACTTGAGCAACACTCTTATATTTTTAAGCAACCCAATTCCTCCTTTTCAACCAGAGTGACTCCCATAATCATCAAGACCTTATACACATAATCAATGAACTCATGAAGATCTTTCTCAACCTTGGAACCTTAAAACCCCTAGGGTTTCATTCTAGTGAAGTCTCTCACTCTATTTTCCACCGTACCCACATTCGAGTTCATGGGACCACAATCTCCCTACTGTCTTGAGCGTCATGGACTGACCTAACACTTGAAAAGCAGCTGGAAACTCTCCATTAATCACTTGTTCGACTAAAGCGTCAGCCAAAACTTGAGGATATTCTTGAGGAGCTTGTGCAACTTCTTGTTCCATATTCACACCCACATTCTCTATAATGTATTCTCTTCGAGGGGTCATATCCTGAAAAGCATGTGATACGGATTAGGAGAGATACATATAGAGTCATACTCTATTGCACAACTTTAGAGTAATGAAAGAAATGGAGTTTCCTAAACATCTTATAGCCTCTTATTCATAAATGTGACATTTCAAAAAGAAACTACTCAACGTGGGTTATGATATATCCTAGGACCTTTTTAAACCTTGCGCTCTAAATATGATTTTTTTCATAACCCAATGTATACCCTAAGCATAACGTAGCGTATAGAACCCCGAGAGGCTATAGATAAGCCACTTATCATACATCATATATATTAAGAGAGATAAAGACTTCCAAAGAAATTCTCTTATATTATAAATGAGTTTGAAAACAGAAGAATTCTAATACAAGTCTCAATAAGCCATCGAATACATCATAAGAAAACTGATTAGGACATAAACCATACATCACTTATGGAGTCCAAAAATGGAAATGACATATAGCTATAAGTATCTTGGTCCTCAGAATATGAAGACTTACCAATCTTCAAAGCCAGTAGAACTAACTAGCCACGAGTATGAGAGGTAGTAACGTCAAACCCTATATTAGTGAAACAATTTAAGCAAAAGCATACATTAATACATGTAATTTATTAAGTATGTTATATGTGTATAAGTGTTATCAAATCATGCTAAAAAGGATTTTGCATGACATGCAATGACCAAACTTAGATCATGAGAGAAAAAGAGTTAGAAAACATAAATCATAATCATGGTCAATGCAAGCTAAACATCTTTAAAAATGTGAGATACTTTCATAAAATAACATAATTTCATTATTTTGAAAAGTTTATCATATAACTAATATAGACCATGTGAACTATTCCATGCAACTCGTGTCTATCCCAAATCGAATATAGATATCATTACTTCCCAAGGTAAGAACCATACTCTTATAGCTTAGGTTGACCCACTAGCTATTTATTTCTAAGAAAAACATCATCGGGTCACGTAGTTAGGTACAATGCAATTTCTTCTAGAGATCTGACCTCTACTAATGGGAGAGCCTCTATCTAAATAAAATCTCACAGAATAGTCATTAATCATATTTGTAGTATCATCCATGGAAAGGCATAATAAAGCCACCAATCCAAGATAAACTTCAACAAGAATAGCTCCTTAATCCCGATTCAACTTAGGTGAGGAAACCTTTTAAATTTACGAATCATTTATGTGACAAAACCTTTCAACCTTACAAATCATTTATGTGAGAAAACATTTTGTGACAACAACAATATTCATGTTTTACTTTCAATTTCATAAAAGAACATCGATGTCTTCAGTTAAATCAATTTCATAAAATAACATGGATGTCTTCATAAATTCATCTTTCATCATCCATAATCTTCACCATATGATCATAGCCTAGAATTCATAGATCATGTATAGGTTCATGTGAATTCAAATCAAAAGTATATATTACTTCAGTTCATGCATAAAAAGATATAAATGAAATTAATTAGATCATAATTGAAAAG